AAGCAATTATCTGCGTCAGACTCCCGAGTAGCTGGGATTACAGGTGACTGCTGCCACGCCCAGCTAATTTTCGTATTTTTAGTAGAGATGGGATTTCACCATCTTGGCCAGGCTGGTCTTGAACTCCTGACCTCCTGATCCACCCGCCTCGGCCTCCCAAAGTGCTAGGATTACAGGCGTGAGCCACTGCGCCGGGCCAGTTTATGGAAGGATTAAGCCCCCAGCAGTATTAAGCTTGGTTGTCCTCAGTGATACCTGATTTCCTTCCCTTCCCTGTCTCACATCTCCACCCCCCTACTGGTAGTTTCTGGGATGACCTCCAAAATAAACTACTTGCCCTTGAATCCTTATCTAAAGGTCTGTTTCTGGGAGAACTGAAACTAAGACATGGTGGTTATTTCTCGCAGTTGAATCACACCAGAATTCCTTGCAGAGACTATTCTGAGACACATCACTCCCTCCTAGGAGGAGGTCCCACATCCAAGAAGGAAGTATTAATGGGTTTGCACATCATTTTCTGAAGGGGGTTTAAAAGAAGCAGGTTGGGAGCAGATGTCTCTTGGAGGATCCGGTCATTATGGAATAAGTATCTTTTATATTCAGTTTGCTGAAGACCAATAGGCTATAGGCAATACGGTGGATGATAAACATAACCACTGCAGTTGTAGTACCTAGGACTGTCTTAACTCTCACTGCATTGTCCCAGCACTTAACATGATGCTTGATACAAAGCAGGTGCCCAATACATGCTGACTATCATTTAATAAAGTTATTCTTTACAGACCAGTGAGAAGAATACATCTGAGTCTTCCATCTTTGAATACATCATTCTTTCCTGGCACATGTTGTTCTACTGTCTTTTATGAGGATAAAAGCTAGACTGCTATAAAAAATAAAAACCCTCAAAACACAGTGGCTTAATACAGAAACCAACACCCGTAATAAAATTGTGAAGAACTAAACACAGACACATACACATACAAGTGAGTACAAGTAAAACGAAATCTGAGTAAGATCTATCAACTGTATCAATGTTGATATCTTGGTTGTGATATTATACTACAGTTTCACAAAATGTTATCATTGGGGGAAACTGAGCAAAGAGTATGCAGGAGATCTCTTACAATGGCATGTGAATCTACAATGATCTCAACAAAACTTTTTATTAAAAATGTATAGTGTCATAAATAACAGTATAGGTAATCTAGAATGGTGAGCCTAGTGAGACAGTTGTACTCCACAAGGTCATTCAAAGTCCCAGGTTCCTTGTATCTTGTTGTTCCAATATCTCATAGGGGTACTATCTTCACCTACAGGGCTGGAGCTGAGGCAAAGCTCAGTGTCAGTCCATAGGAGGGGAGAAAAGAGAGAAATGAATTTCCTTTTAGGCATGTGATGCAGAAATGGCACCTATCACTTCCACTCACATTATATTGGCAAAAACTTAGCCACATGGGCACGTCTAGCTGCAAGGGAAGCTGGTAAGTGGAGCTTTTATTCTGGATGGTCATGTGCAAGTACAACACTACTATTATGGAAGAAGGGAAAGACATTTTGAGTAAGAACTGGCAATCTTCCACAAAGCACAAACTGATTTTGTTAATTGGCATAGTGAGATATTATTTGGTGTGTGCCAAAAATCCCTTCTTTGGGGAAAACCACATCTGACATGTTCTATACTAACCTTTCTCTATCCAGAGCCTAGAGATAAGGAGAGAGGACTCTATGATGTCTGAGGCTCGACAGCTAGATCCACCTTTTGAGCTTCCAGTTACAGGAGCCAAGCATCCCTACTTTTGATTTATCTACATTGGGATGGATTTCTATGATTTGCAACCCAAAGAGACCTGATGAACATAGTTGGTATCCTGACTCCTCAATTTCCGAAAACACTGAGACATGAAAGTGGCAAATATAAGCTTTACTGTCTCAAAGGGTCCTTTGTGTCCTTCTAGGAGAGCCCCAAATGCTTGAGCACTGAACACAGAGCCCTTGGCCAGGACACTCACAATAACATGTAGGTTTAGTCAGCACTATTTAAACACTTAGTTTAATCAGTACTTAGTGAAGCAAGGGTAATAATAATGAGTTATTTCAGAAGTTTTTAACAGGAAAAAAGAAAAACCATTGACCCAAATAGTATGCTTGATAATTCTTAATAAGTGCTATAAATGCTTCTAAAAGAATATTAAGTTGCTTAATTGCTGAATAAATGAAAATATAAACATTATGCTACTTGGAGAGTTCTTTAATATGTAATGGGGAAAACCATTTTATGAAATGTACTGCATGTGATAAATGCTTGTTTTCTTTTCTAAAATCAATTATTGAAACCATTAACCACTGTTTAAATATAGCTTAATTTTTTTCTGTTTATTCCCCTTTACATATTTTTTATTGGTGAAAGAAAATAGGTTTATCTAGGAGAGAGAGCTGCATAGTGAAAGAGATGGAATGTGAAGGATATGGAAGTCAGAAGCCTTGGCTTTTAATCACAGCTCCGTCATTTACTAGTTCTGTAACCTTGGGTAAGTAACTTAAACTCACCTGATTTCCAGGTGCAGTGTGGAACTATTACAAGGGCTCTCTTACCCACCTCAGAGAATTGTAGTGGTACTACCACTAAGTCATAGCACTTTTAGGGCAGTGCTTATCAGCCTTTACTATACATAAGAATTACTTAGGGATTTTGCTAAATGCAGATTTGTATTTATTAAGCTTAGAATGGGATCCAAAACCCAACATTTCTAATAAGCTCTCATGTGATGTTGATGTTACTGGTCCATACTTTTGGATAGCAAGGTTCTCATGTGACTGCCTTAGAGATGATTTCTGATCCAAGCTGGGCCAAAAGAAGGTCTCGTTTGCTAGCCTGAGATTTGAACAGGGACAACCAGAAATGGGACATATAGTCACTTGCTCATTCATTCACAAATAAAAAAAACTTCTGTCTCTATGCCAAACACTATAGTAGGCAGTGGAGAGACACCAATCAATCAAGTAGGTCTCTGCATTCACGGAGCTTTCATTATAGTAATATGCAAGATAATTACAGATAAGCTAAGGGCTGTGAAGAGATTGAAGAATTTCAAAGGGATGCAGGAGCCTTGAAGTGAAAAGTGTTGGGGAAAGCCAAGCTCTTACTTTCCCTTCTGTAGTGACCTTGGCAGGTAAGAGTTGAACATGATGGCTTAGCAAATGGGGGAAGCCTGGATCCCTGAGTGGTTATGTGGAGCACAGCATTCTTCCCGTCCCTGCAGACTGCATTGGACGGTGATCAGAGTGAGAAATAAAATACTTCACACCTGTGAGGAATTGTGACGGCAAACTGATCTTTCTGAGATGCATCCACTGCCTGGATATATTACTGGGGGAAGACAATACTAAACAAACACTCATATACAAACTCACGTTGAAGTTAATTTCTTTCTCCAGTCGTTTCTATCTTAGATCTCTTGGTCAGACCTTTATAAAATCGACTCACTAAATTATGATGGAAGCTAAGGAAGCAATTACAGAGTTTGTAATTTTCCTTTAAAACACACCTGCTTATATTTTAGAAGAGTCCTGGGTGGCACAAGAATATTAACATTTAAATTCACCATTTCTCATGTTTATCCACACACTCTAAATCTGGGTATCCTTCAGAGGATCCTGTAATCCCCCAAAGGAAATCTGTCTTCTTTACTGCATCCTCAGTGGGTCTTTTCTTCCTTGGCTGCTGGTCTCAAGAGCACATAGCTGGTCTCTCAGCCCCCTGAATATTCTTCCTCTTCTCCTCTAATTTTTATGTATCCTAAGCAGCCACTGCAAAGCTGTTCCTTAAGACTGCTTAGTACAAGAAGTCTCTTATGACTTATGCCTGGGTAACAGGTGAGGACAAGACAGGCAGGAAGAGTCAGAACATCCTATGAGAGAGGCCAGTGCCAGGGACTGGCACTTCTTGCTTTCTTCACGGGGCCTTCATTAATTTTTCTATCCTAGGACCTGAGTTTGTTCTTATAACTGTGTGTGCTTAGTGAAAACTGAGTGGTAAATCATTCAATTGATATGAACCTCTTTGAGTCTGCATTTGGGACAAGTTCTATCGGTAAAAGCAGCATATGAAGTCAAAACCTCCATCCTCCAAGACACCAAAATGAAATCCTCCCCAGCCAGGGGTCCATTCCAGGACGCATTTCCATACACGTGTACAGTCTGCAACTATCCACAGAACCACATTCATGATAAGGAGACAAAAGATGGGCCTCAAAAGGAGACTTTTGAGTGAGGATACCAACTTTCTGCGTTCCTTGGTTCATTCAGCAACAAAGATTAGTCTTGGCATTACTGCCTGCTTGGCGACCAGAACAAAGAGAAATAAGGAAAATTAGGGACACAGGAAAACATATGGGCACACATAGATGTGGAAACTCAGAGATAAAAGAGACTTAAAGAGATACATGGAGAGTGAATATTCTGTCGCCTTTTAGAGCCATATCCATCATCCATCCACCCAAGCAATGCTGACCTGAGCGCCTATTTATCAGGCACTGTGCTAGGCCTTGGTAATAAATAAAGATGGAGGTAAAAGTCTAAAAGCAGACATTGGAGGTGGGACGAGCAGTTGACGTGGCCCTAACAGGTTCCCACCACGGCGGAACGCACAGACAGGGCAGGTGGGGGAAGATGTGGCCCTAAAAGGGTTCCCGCTACGGCGGAACGCACAGCCAGGGAACGTGGGGGAATTCAAGGAGCGAACTTCCTGGCGCCCCAACGTTGGTAAAGGTGAACGAGACACCTGCGCATCATAGAGACGCCGAGACCTCCAGGCTTCCTAGAGAGGCCCGGAAGTGGCTCCAGGAGGCCGGTCCGACGACTCCGGCTCCCGAGCGGGGACGGTGGGCAGCTAGGGAGGGCTGGGCCTCCCCGCCTGCCATAGTCTGCCTGCCGCGCCCTTGTTCCTGCAGCTGTGAGTGGGCCTGGGCTGGGGTTGGGGGCCGCCGCCCTTCTGCGGGGACCTTGGGCCGCCTTGGCCTGGAACGCAACAGGTGGCGTTCCCGGGGGTGGGGGACGGTGATGAATGACTGAGCAGGGTGGCGGGAAGGAGCATCCCCTTTCAGGTGTCTTCCTGATCCCAGGGGGCCGGGCGCAGCTTGGCTTTCTAGAATGTCGCCAAGGTCTCAAACACTGGCTCTCTTCATTTTTTGTTTTTAAGGACAGCAGGCCCCAATCTCCGAACTTTCCACCGGTGTTTGGCTATGCTTGATTCCTATTGATTTTCTGCACACTTTGGGGGAACGATTTCCTCCTCATTATGACGTGGTTCTGGTTTCCCACTTAAAATGGCAGTGACAGGTTCCCATTTAAACTGCATGTGTTTGTTGGGAAAAGGTAAGTAGGTTTAAACAAAACCTTATAGGCTAGTCATAGTACCAGATGAACCAGACATGACAGAAATTGTGGAGGTGGAGTGAACCCTGAAAATCTGAGACAGGTCTCAGTTAATTTAGAAAGTTTATTTTGCCAACATTGAAGACATGTACCCATGACACAGCCTCAGGCGGTCTTGACCACATATACTCAAGGTGGTCAGAGCACATTTTCGTTTCATACATTTTAGGGAGACATGAGACAACAACAGATGTAAGATGAACATTTTTTCAGTCTGGAAAGGCGGGACAACTGGAAGCAGGGAGGGGGCTTCTAGGTCGTAGGTAGGTAAGAGACAAATAGTGACATTCTTTTGAGTTTGATTGGCCTCTCCAAAGGAAGCAATCAGATATGCCTTTATTTCGGTGAGCAGAAATATATGAATAGAATGGGAGGCAGGTTTGCCCTAAGCAGTTCACAGCTTGACTTTTCCCTTTACCTTAGTGATCTTGGAGCCCCAAGATTTATTTTCCTTTCACAGTGGTAGGATAATGACCTAAGTGAATCTGCATTGTCCCAGCGTTAGTGTGCGGCATTACACGTGGTAGTTAAGAGTTATACAGACCCGGCTTCAAGCCCTAAATCCTGCCCAGCCACTTATGACCTGCATAATTTGTGGGCAAGGTTCCTAACCTCTGATCTGTTTTCCTCATTTCTGAAAGCTGATAAGACTAGTAACTACCTCAGAAGATTGTCCTGAGGCTTAAATGCTAAACCTTTAAACTACCTGTATTAATCCATTCTCGTGTTGCTAATAAAGACATACCTAAGACTAGGTAATTTATAAAGGAAAGAGGTTTAATGGACTCAGTTCCCCATGGCTGGGGAAGCCTCATAATCATGGCAGAAGGCAAAGGAGGAGTAAAGTCACGTCTTATGTCTTGCATGGTGGCAGGCAAGAGAGCTTGTGCAGGGGAACTCCCCTTTATAAAACCATCAGCTCTTGTGAAACTTATTCACTGTTGTGAGAACAGCATGGGAAAAACCCACCCCCGTGATTCAATTACTTCCCACTGGGTCCCTCCCAGGACATGTGGGAATTATGGGATCTAAAATTCAAGGTGAGATTTGGGTGGAGACATAGCCAAACCATATCCTTCTGCCCCTGGCCCCTCCCAAATCTCATGTCCTCACGTTTCAAAACCAATCATGCCTTCCCAACAGTCCCCCAAAGTCTTAACTCATTTTGGCATTAACTTAAAAGTCCACACTCCAAAGTCTCATCTGAGACAAGGCAGGCACCTTCCACCTATGAGCCCGTAAAACCAAAAGCAAGTTAATTACTTCCTAGATACAATGGGGGTACAGGTATTGGGTAAATACACTCATTCCAAAAGGGAGAAATTGGCCAAAACGAAGGAGCTACAGGCCCCATGCAAGTCTAAAATTCAGCAGGGCAGTCAAATCTTGAAGCTCTAAAATGATCCCCTTTGACTCCATGTCCCATATCCAGGTCACACTGATGCAAGAGGTGGGTTCCCCTAGTCTTGGGCAGCTCCATCCCTGTGGTTTTGCAGGGTACAGCCCCACTTTTGGCTACTCTCAGGGCTGGCATTGAGTGTCTGCTGCTTTTCTAGGTGCACGGTGCAAGCTGTTGGTGGATCTACCATTCTGGGGTCTGGAGGATGGTAGCTGTCTTCTCACAGCTCCACTAGGCAGTGTCCCAGTGGGGACTCTGTGGGGTGGTTCCAACCCCACATTTCCCTTCCACGCTGCCCTAGTAGTGGTTTTCCATGAGGGCCCCACCCCTGTAGCCAACTTCTGCGTGAACATTCAGGAGTTTCCATACATCCTCTGAAATCTAGACAGAGGTTTCCAAACCTCAATTCTTGACTTCTGTACATCCACAGGCTTAACACCACATGGAAGTTGCCAAGGCTTGGGGCTTGCACCCTCTGATGCCACAACCTGAGCTGTACCTTGGCCCATTTTAGCCACAGCTGGAGCTGCTGGGATACAGAACACCAAGTTCCTCTGCTGCACAGAGCAGGGGGGCCCTGGACCCAGCCCAGGAAACCATTTTTGCCTCCTAGGCTTCTGGGCCTGTGATGGGAGGGGCTGCCATGAAGGTCTCTGACATGACCTGGAGACATTTTCCCCATTGTCTTGATGATTAGCATTTGGCTCCTTGTTACTTATGCAAATTTCTGCAGCCAGCGTGAATTTCTCCCCAGAAAATGGGTTTTTCTTTTCCATTGCATCATTAGGCAGCAAATTTTCCAAACTTATACTCTGCTTCCTCTTGAATGCTTTGCAGCTTAGAAATTTCTTACCCCAGATACCCTAAATCATCCCTCTGAAGTTCTAAGTTACACAGTTCTCTATGGCAAGGACAAAATGCCATCAGTCTCTTTGCTGAAACATAACAAGAGTCACTTTTGCTCCAGTTCCCAAAAAGTTCCTCATCTCCATCTGAGACCACCTCAGCCTGGACTTTATTGTCTATATCGCTGTCAGCATTTTGGTCACAGCCATTCAAGTCTCTAGGAAGTTCCCAACTTCCCCACATCTTCCTGTCTTCTTCTGGGCCCTCAAAACTGTTGCAACCTTTGCCTGTAAACCAGTTCCAAAGTCACTTCCACATTTTTGGATACCCTTACAGTAGCACCCCATACCCGGTACCAATTTACTGTGTTAGTCCATTCTCATGCTGCTAATAAAGACATTCCCAAGACTGGGTAATTTATAATGGAAAGAGGTTTAATGGACTCACAGTTCCACATGGCTGGGGAGGCCTCATAATCATGGCAGAAGGTAAAGGAAGAGCAAAGTCACGTCTTACATGGCGGCTGGCCAGAGAGCTTGTGTAGGGGAATTTTCCTTTATAAAACCATCAGATGTTGTGGGACTTACTCACTATCACGAGAATAGCATGGGAAAGACCCACCCCCATGATTCAATTACCTACTACTGGGTCCCTCCCAGGACATGTGGGACTTACGGGAGATACAATTCAAGAGGAGACTTGGGTAGAGACACAGCCAAACTGTATCACTCCCTAACCCATCATAAATAATAAGTGTAGCCATGGTTGTTGCTGTTTTTATTTTGGGGAGGAGGAAACATGATCAGAGAGGTTCAGTGAATTGCCCAGGGTCACACAGGGAATTGGTGGAACAGCCAAGTCTGATTCTCAGATTTCCAAACTGAGAGTCTCTGGGAACTGCAGGGGCCGCGATGAGGTTGCAGAATGTGTTAACAGTGAAAGCCCTCACAGGACTCAGGTCAGTACCCAGCACTTCAGGCAGGGGCTCTGCACAGCCTCAAGTGCTGCTGCGTTAAGGTGAACTGTAGAGTCAGATGCACCTGGGTTATTGGTACGGCTCCCTGCTCTACCATTTGCTAGCTGTAGCACTTGGAGTTAGGCACTTTGTGTCTCTGAGCTTCAGTTTTCTCATCTGTAAAATGGAATTAACAAATTAGTACTCATCTCAGAGGTATGTGAAATAATTCCTGGACAGAGTATTGTAGAATGCCTGGCACAGAGTAAGTGCTTAATAAGTGGCAGTTGCCCAGCACTTTGGGAGGCTGAGACGGGCGGATCGCGAGGTCAGGAGATCGAGACCATCCTGGCTAACACGGTGAAACCCCGTCTCTACTGAAAAATACGAAAAACTAGCCGGGCAAGGTGGCGGGCGCCTGTAGTCCCAGCTACTCGGGAGGCTGAGGCAGGAGAATGGCGTGAACCCGGGAGGCGGAGCTTGCAGTGAGCTGAGATCCAGTCACTGCACTCCAGCCTGGGCGGCAGAGCGAGACTCCATCTCAAAAAAAAAAAAAAAAGTGGCAGTTGATATTACTTCAATTACTTGATATTACTTCAATGTATAGATGTGGCAAACTGCTAACTTAGTGAAGAGGAAAATACAAGTGTAGTACTCCTTGCAGATAGGACAGAAAGAGGCATTTGAAGAGCTTGCAAAATGTTCACCCCATTTAGATTTACTGGGTCTACAATCTGCTAGATATTCCTTGTCCCTACAGATATTGCCGGTCTGTGCTCACATGGCATTTATACGATAGCTTGGGAAACAGATGGGAAATACCAATTATAAAATTTTTTCATTTCTTTTGTCATCAGCATTGTGGAGAATTGCAAGGCTCTTGTGCCATAGATATCTAGGTAGAAGTTTAGCTAGCCGAACAAGATTTGAAACACCTCAGATGATGACCCTGAATTACAGACAGCTGTCCTGCTACCTACTTATGTTCAAAACCCTGCATAAATACCCATATCTATTACCAGTATACTGGTTTTTACTTAACCCTATACCCTTAATTTTCTTCCCAGGTGTTTTGGCCTTTTGGAATTTTTTTTTTTTTTTTTTGGATGGCATCTCGCTGTGTCATCCAGACTGGTGTGTAGTGGTGCAATCTCCGCTCACTGCAACCTCCATCCCCCATGTTCAAGCGATTCTCCTGTCTCAGCTTTCCAAGTAGCTGAGATTACAGGTGTGCATCACCACGCCCGGCTACTTTTTTCTGTTTTTAGTAGAGACAGGGGTTTCACCATGTTGGCCCAGCTGGTCTCTAACTCCTGACCTCCAGTGATCCACCTGCCTCAGCCTTCCAAAGTGCTGGAATTATAAGCATGAGCCACTGCACCCAGCCCCTTTTGAATTTTATATGTCACATCTCTTTTATCTATATCAGAATTCTTCTCCTTATCACCCCTAACTGCATATTTTATTTTTATTGTTTTGACTTCCTTATATTAAACACAAGTAGATAATTTTCAGATCATGCATGGAATTTGAACAGCACCATTTCATAAGCCCTCTGGCATCAATATATTTGCCAGATCTTGATATAATAACAATACAGTTACCTTTTACCTCTGGTCAGCACTTGTACAGTGATTTAAAGCACCTAATCATGGGGTTATACTACTTGGAGATATTTTTTATATCTCTTAAAGTAAATATCGTAAGTTTTTATTTTTATGGGAACCGTCTTAAATTCTC